CAAAACAATCGAAAGATGCCTCAGACGGGTCAAGCACTGCAACTACACGAGTGCTCATTGCTCAGCTATCGCGGAAGAACCCGAATGGCAGGAGTGAATTTCTTCCAGCACAATAGCTCACATTCGCGGCACGGTCATCCCAAAGGGCGCCCATTCAAGATCACCTTAAGAGGGGGCTTCCATCATGGTCAACATTGGAAACTTATCAATGAGATTTGCAGTGAATCACATTCCCATGTACAGTACACACAGTTCTTTCCATTATGATAAAGAACACTGTTCAGGGCAAAATTCACCCTCCTGCTATGCTGACATGATCAAATATTCTGTCTCTTGATTGGGTAAATGAAAAAACTACCTTTCCACATACAGAAATTTAGTCATTCATATGACATCTAACGCAACCTGTGCCATGGAAGCTGGGTGGTACTCCATACCTTGAGAAATACATTTTGCATCAATTTGCATGCTAGGATGTCCACTATTCAAGACAGTTTCCACCTTTAATTTGAGAACCCACTGATGGCCATTCCTAGTCCATTGAGATACGATTAAAAATAATTGGTACAAGAGAAGAATATAATCACAGGATGCAATTTATCTTCACTTTCCAGCCCAGGAAAACAATACAAAACATGTAAAAGGAACAAATCAGGTCAAACAAAGTTCTGCAGATCCCACTGCAGGTAGAAGACTCAGCTGTGCTGCATTCATTTCACCCTCTCTCACAGCTTTCTTGGGGTGTGGTGGAGAAAGAAACCTGTCCAAAGTGGTCTGTTTCTTCCTTTCTTTTTCAGCACCTGAAAAATATGATAGAAAAAAGTTCATTGTTAGAAACCAGTTGTTTCCATTGACCTCTAGAACAAGGTTAAATTATCTCCTGAATGATTTTGGGTTTTATCTTTCAAAAAGCATTCCCAGAAATATTACCGAATACTTCAGCAACTTTATAATTACCTGCTTTGAGTGTATTTTGAAGAAGGTTCAGCTGCTCAGCATGAACTTCAATGTCTACTCCAACTTCCTGGAAAGTTTGAGAATTAATGGTTCTCTCGGGAGTAATATGCTGCCCTCTTTTCTCAAGAAGCTCCTTGAAGTGGTGCATGACATTTTCCCCAAAAATCTCCACCAGTCTGCTGGCTTCAACATTGTCAGGATGATACTCCAACACAAATGCTTTAACCTTCTCCCACATTTGCAGATGCTCCTCAATGACGGCATTAGGGGAATTTGCTGTTGTACTATGGTCAGGTATGGGAGAAAACTCCTGCTTCACTTCTTGAGGTTTGAACTCCTCCCACATCTGAAGATTTGACTCAACAAAAGCTGTTGAGGATGTTGCTCTGCTGTCATCAGGTTCCAAGAAAAACTCTTGCTTAACTTCATGGGTGTCTTGGAGAAGAGTTTGTAGTTCATCAGTGTTCAGTTCAATGATCAATTCCTCTGGAGCCTCTTCCACACTAGGAACATTTTCTCCTTGCCTCACAATGCTGCTTCTCTTCTTAAACCTTTCATACCACCCTCTACTGGCTTTGAATTCCTCTTCCTTTTCTGAGCATTTCAGGGCTTCAAATATGCTTCTAGCCTTTTCACAAATAATATCTCTAGTGATTCGATCACCTTTCTCCTTGCTTTCATCAATCCATCCCATTAGGAGCTGCTCCATTTCTTCATGAATGGGAGTTCTGGTACCATTGACGAACACCAATGATGATCCCCTAATAACATTTGCAGCCATAATTTTATTTCTATTAGCTATTATACTTGCAATAGTTGATTTCGGCAAGCCATATTCTCTACCTAAATCACGCACTCCTCTCCCCATTTCTCTCTTTCTAATAATTTCTTGTTTGAATTCCACAGTGAGCACATTTCTTCGTTTCTCGTTCTTTCTACACCTCTGAGGTGTCATTTTCTATCAGCAGTATCACTCCACATCAACCTCTCCATATAAAATGGAGATTAGCACAGGTAAGGAACACTCGCAAGAAGCACTAAATACAATGCGGAAACCACGACGAGAATCTCCCTTCTGTAAGGAAACGAAAAACATTAAAAAGGATTCGGAAAATGCACTTCGAATCATCTTGAGCCTGTTCAGTCACACGTATAAGGTGACCCACACACAAATCAATGCGACAGGTAATTAAGGCAACAGCTTTCTTTTCACCACAAAATCTATCCCCAAGGGCCATGGAAAAGTCAATCGCGTAGAAAACCGAACACTGCGTTCCCATATTAAAATTCCTCGGCAAAGCTAGCATTTTTGTATCATCCTCTTTTTCTAAATACATAAGTGCCAACATTTAGACACAACAGTTCTCTTCATTATTCCGTGAATCCAAACCAAGGAATTAGTTGAGTGGGCATGGTAAATACGTAGTTCCGAAAATGAAAGAAAAATATATTGACGTCAGAATATGTTTTTCGATATTTCTTACGTAACCAGCACATTTTCCCCACCTGATGACCCAAGTTAATCACTTCGAGGTACGTTTATCAAACCTTCGTATCCTCATTGAATCAAATGAATCCTATCTCCGCTAGAACCAAACTGAAATGGAGTTTTTTGCGCAAGGAACACCGTTCTTATGCAGATTAAGTTCAGTAGACATCGCAAATGACATCTTTGAAGCGTTAAAAGAAACTGTAGCAAATTGGTCGCTGTCAGCCGAGTCTTTTTTTTTCATGCATGATCGGAAACTCGTACTGTACATATTCCTGACGAATTCCTAGTCCAGAAACCCATGACGTCCGACAATTCTTGATTCACACGTAAGAGGATCACTTTTGACGGTTTCCGTGTCAAGTTTGTTCAAAGAAACGTTCGTTAAACCAACAAACGTGTTTCGTTGAGTTTAAGCGAATATCGTCCACTTATACGAAGCATGAAGAAATAACGCATTCCGCTTTTACCCTCGAACACCACCATCGATGCAGCCATTCGAGGTAAAATGCGATACAGTATCTCGCTTCTGTCATCACTTTGCCAAACCGGGGCGCATAATCAACACCAACCAGGAGAAATACACCCAAAACTTGATAGGATTCGTAAAGAACCCTTGAATCATTTTCTTCATGTGAAAAAAATCGCATTTCGCTTGATCGAATATTTCGAAAAAATTATGCCTCGAACGTAAAATACGTAAGGGATGCTTTAGAGACGATATTTCATCAAAGACCTTCATTGCATGATCTCCATAATTATAACGGCTGGTTTTCGTAAGGTGCGCTCATCATCAGAATGAAGAAAAAGTATGAAGATGTCGAAGATCGTACTGACTATTGGTACGACTTGGTTCATACATATGTTTACCGAATAAATACTTGAATATATTTTGTCTTTTCTTCTTCTTTCACGTGCTGTACTTTCACTCAACTAGAACATTGAGCAGGATGAAAACTTTCGCCTCTTCAGTTCCCTATTAAAACCAATCCACAGGCTAACAAGACATGAAACTGACCGACACCAATTAGATTTTCCATCACGCAAATCATAAAATGTCTTCAAAGTTGGTTCCACGAGTTTCTACTCAATAGAGAAGAAAGTCACAAGAACGAACACTCGCAAGGAAAAACCTCGAACACAGCACAAAACTCCCGTCATGGAATTGGCAGATTGACGTCCTGTCGAAGCAGCATGATTTGACACGTTTCCGGAAGTGTGCATCTCTCTTCGGAAGCTAAAAAAAATAAGGTTCAATACATTTCTATGAAATTCATCAATCCAGCGTTGTCACAGGACGATTATACGGAAGATTTCTTAAAATAACAGGTCAGCGGAATCAAAATGAAACTATGCTCTACTCGTTGGAATACAGTCGTCCTACGAACGATGAATGTTACCAAGGAAGTACCTCACTGGGATTATCTTGAGGAAACACGAGGTTTAGAGACGACAGGCTTCTTCGGTCATTCCGCATGAGCTCACGGTACCTCAGCTACGAAGACAAAAAAGTCACATTTCACGACGGTAAACCAGTGATGTTCGATCTCACCATGTCACATGAATACATTCAGACACGCAGTCGATTACTCTTCAAGATCATTTGAACTTCGAGTGCCGCCATTTCAAAGAGAAAGTTTCTTGGTCAGCTATGATGATGCTTGAAAGGCATTTCGCGACACGAGTCCGATTCATGATCACTACAAAACGTCTACGATGCTTTTGAGGATTTCAATCAACACAATCCTAATATATTTTCGGAAGAACAATAATGGAAAATGAAAGGACGAGGAAGACGAAGCCAAGACAAATTTAATGCAACTAGAAATCGCCAACCAGTATCATTGCAGAACAAAACGGATCGACCGTAAGACAAGAATCTGGATACTGCCTAATGCCAGCTCCACGAACTACTGGAGGAGCTCTTCTCCGAATCATTCTTCTTCTCCTCATCAGGTTTCGGATCGTTCCAACCCTCGAGCCCTTTCGGTAATTTCGTATCCTCCTCGAAACTTCCTGTTCCCTCCACAAATTCTTCGTAAGTCGACTTCTCCTTAAACGGCCTCGGTCCTAACAGCTCTATCATATCATCACGACTAAGGATTTCTTTCTCAAGCAAACGCGTGGCCACTTTGTCAATATCCTCACGATGTTCTGTCAACAACTGCTTCGTGCGGTTGTACGCGCTTTTCACCATCTCACGAACTTCGTTGTCAATCAGCTGCGCTGTAGCTTCAGAATAAGGCTTTTCAAGCACCATATCACCTTCACGCGGCATCTCGAAACTCAAAGTTCCCACTTTTTCATTCATACCGTATTGCACAACTTGAGAGTATGCACTTTGAGTCACTTTACGGAGGTCATCCTGTGCCCCAGTCGTGATCCGATTGAAGAACAGCTCCTCGGAAACCCGACCACCCAACGTCATACACATTCTATCCAACAACTGCTCTGTTGAGTACAGGTACTGTTCTTTCGGTAAATACTGGGCATAACCAAGCCCTCGTCCCCGCGGGATAATGGATACCTTCAGAAGAGGATCTGCGTGTTCCAAAAACCATCCTGCGACAGCGTGTCCTGCTTCGTGGTACGCTACGGTTCGTTTCTCTTCGGGCTGCAAGACGTTGGTTTTCTTCTCCATGCCTGCGACTACTCGTTCAATAGCTTGTTCGAAGTGTTTCAATATCACTTCGTGGAACAAGTCCCGCGCAGCGATCAAAGCAGCTTCATTGCAGACATTGGCGATATCCGCGCCAGTGAATCCCGGAGTGAGAGCTGCCATTTTACGAGAAAGTTCGTTCTTGTCGATCGTTGTTTTCAAGGGTTTCAGATGAACTTTGAAGATCGAAGCCCTGCCCTTGATATCTGGCGCGGGAACGTAGATCTGACGGTCAAAACGACCCGGACGAAGTAAAGCAGGGTCAAGGATGTCCACTCTGTTCGTCGCAGCAAGCACGACAACGTTTGTAGAGGTGTTAAATCCATCCATTTCGACAAGCAGCTGGTTCAAAGTGTTCTCTTGCTCAGAATGTCCACCGATACTACGTCCACCACGCTTTCGCCCAACCGCGTCAATTTCATCGATGAACAGTATGCAAGGTGCGTGTTTCTTCGCCATGGAAAACATGTCACGAACTCTCGACGGCCCGATACCTACGAACATCTCAAGGAACTCCGAGCCCGATACAGATATGAAAGGTACGTTTGCTTCACCGGCTGTGGCTTTCGCGAGAAGTGTTTTACCAGTACCAGGATTTCCAGTGAGAAGAGCACCTTTTGGAATCTTCGCACCAAGATCAAGATACTGTTGCGGATTTCGAAGGAAGTTCACGAATTCCATGATCTCCAGTTTGGCTTCTTCGCATCCGGCAACGTCTGCGAACTTAACGCCAATATCCGTAGGATTGACAAGTTTTGCTGTCGATTCCCCGACTCCACCAAAAAGTCCCCGACCTGGACGACCTCCGCGACCACCCATCATCTGAGCCGAACGACGCATCATGAAGATGATGAAACCAATGACGAGGAGAGTAGGTAAGAAACCGGAGAGACTGGCAAGTTCAAACTCATTTCGGTAAACAACCGAGATCTGATTCTCTGCTTCAAGACTAAGTTCAGCCTGAGAAGTCTCCAGGTTTCGCTCAAAAGTATCAACAGAGCCGATGTTGAACCACGGGATTGTGTTTTCAGCGGAAACAGTTTGCACTCGGACCCATTTTTTGTTGACTACCTCCAAACGATCTACCTTGTTGGTGGCGAGATAATTCGTAACAAACTCTTTCCAAGTGATTTCACGGTAGGATGAATCGAAAAACGCAGCTAACCCTATAATCGTCAATGTCGCAATCACAGCTATGGTTAGGATGCGCTCGCGTTCATTTTCCGGTGGCGGACCCGAGGATGAAGATCGCTTCGAGTTGAAAACGTTCTGGAAGTTGAAAGGCGTCTTCCCTGGAACTCGTGGCAAGGGCGGCGGGGGAACTTTCTTCCCCTCCTCGGTTTGCTGCTTCTCATCCTCTGACTTCTCTTGGGGCTTCTTCCCACCAGGGAAATATTTTTCAAAGCCCTTAGGGGCGCACAAGTCAAGGATGACTTGCGTTGTTCTTGGACCAGCGATGGCTGTGATGCGTCGGACCAATTCATCTACATTAGAACTGGTTGAAAGCCTATGGAAAATCCTCGAGCCGGGCAACGCACAGCGAGACAGGCACAACATTATATCGTGCGAACTCGGGCACAAACCACTTTGCACCCGTACGAATCAATCGCTAAATTTTGCCGTCTTTCTTCACTGCACCTTGATTTAGAAGAGAGATTCGGCATTAATCATAGCCGTGGAGATGATCAATGAACCGTTGAAAGAAGGGGCAATAATGCACATTTCTTCTGGAATTATTCCGATCTATTCTCGTCCTTGATCAAGAGTAACTTTTCATGAGCAAAAAATCGATGCGCGCGATGTGATGGAATAATCAACCATCGAAAAATCACAGAAATTCGCCGGTGGAAAATGCCCCAAATTATTGGCAAGCGTCGTCGCATATTCCCAGTGGAAAAGCCTTCCGATGTTCACCTAAGAGATACAGCACATGTTACAGCAAGTTCAACTAGGAACCAACTCATGCAATATTAATTACATCAGGGTAACTATGACTAAGTATCTCAGAGGAATGACCAGCATACCTCATCTGAAGAAATTCTATACGTTCATCATTCAAAACATAGATTCAATCATTCAAGTTTCATCGACCACTTACACAAATCCACTCGTTCGATGGTTACACATCACCTCCATTACAGAAGGTAAGGAAGTCGTCTAGTGAGATGCTCGCCTGCAAATGGTAAAGAAATTTCATAATTGCGTGCAAGTGAAATTGATCATGTAGAACGCTCAGAGGATAGTAACGAGCCACCGCGAGCAGCGCCACCGAAGTAACGTTCAACAACTTCTGTACCTCCCAAAACGTTGGCGAATGGCCGAGAAGCACAACCATTCGCGCCAAAATGGAGGAAAAGCTTATGAGGACGGAATACACACCCAATTTGTAACGCCGCAACACACGGGAAACAGGAAGAATCCCTCCACATTGCTTGAGAGATTCGTCATGGCAACCGGCCGCCTTCCGGGTTAAGTACGAGAAATCTGCAACAATACAGCGTAACTCAACATCGACAGCAACACATAGACAGGCGGTCAATATAATCTCACAAAGCAGTACCTTATTCATAGTTTAAAGGCAACATCGCGCTGCTGGTTCACGTATCTCGATTTTTGAGAATGAAAATTCAGATTTTTACTCGCACGTTACATAATCCAGTACAGTACATAACTCCCTTCATCACAGCAATGAATGGAAGTCCGTGTTCACAAGAGATGACTCATTCCTGGTTCCCTCGCGCACCGCCATCAAGCTTGACGCTAGTGGCATATAGGAAGTTCCAAATGAACTATTATTCTTGGGACATCTACACGATGAAATCGAAGCACTTCTCACCCACTGGACCTTGAAATCCAGCGCCTGCCTACTAACAAAGTTCGTCAACCACGATAGCCCATGACACCTGTCTTGGTCTGAATTCCCATATAGAATTAACAATACCGTACATTAAAGCCCTCCCAAATGCACTGGAAGTCTTTCCCCTGAAACCCCATAACCCTAAATTTCTGGATTTCTCTTGGCTAGTATCCTATTGGCACATGAAGGAGGGAAGTTATAAAAATGTATTAATGCATTGGGCATCATGACTTAATAATGAATAAACCCTTGCTTCCAACTTCAGTGCCAGCAAAGCGTCAAAATTTAACAAGGTCCTGTGTGTCAACATTCACAAAAAAGTAGAAATTTCCTAGCTCTGATGGTCATCAGCCTCAATTGAAAAAGGAGTCAACATTCATGGTAGTCCAAGCCAAATGATGCAAGGTGCGAAGTTTATCACCTGCAGCAGTCTTTTGGAATACTAATTTCTCAGGGGCACATTTTCCTGGTATTAGCATCATCAGCCCCTTCATTAATCTGGCTCTGACCAAGTGCCTTTCACTGCACTTTCATCAGCCTGCAATGATTAGGTAGCACACCTGAGCTTCAGAATTATTAAATACTCGCATTGTTCATTCACTGCGACGTGTATGACACAAGCCAGGCCAGTCCATGTTGTTAAGACATGCGGGTTTCAAGCCATGTAAGTGCTTAAATTTTCATCTTGCATACAGTATACGTCATTCAGACTGTCAGCAGAAAAGTTCATTGAATTGGCACTTGCGTATGATAAACACGAGGTTCAGGATGGATCACCTCTAGTGAACTAGCGCTTACAAGTCACGAAGTATGATGTATCCAAAGGATTGTCTCCACGAAGTAAGAACTTCGCAGAGAACGCCTTCCATTCGGAATTTCACTTTAGCTCCGCCCTAGCACTTCAGCGCCATGGAAGGCGCAAAGCGTGAGTAGACAGAGCTGTGTACTATAAAAATCTACTTCATAGCTCCAAATGCTACAGTGTACATCCAACTGATTCGCGTATCACGAACGGAGCACATACCTCCATGTAACGACCATCATGATCATGATGCAGCGGCTTCATTAGACATCTCTTCACGACCTGGAAGTTCAGGAGAAAAATGATCATCTAGAAAATCATCGGAATTCCAGCTACACATCAATTGACGTTTCAGTAGAAAGTGATAGGGTATAACCAATTTTTCTTCATCCTTGACGTAGAAGCGAGCTGGGTGTTTCATCACATAGAACCAAGAAATCAGAAAAATGAACTGAACGAACCTTGGAATGAGGCCCGGAATCTTGAGCTCACGCCATCAACCGAGGTGGAGAGCACAAGCCTGTGAAAAAAATATAATTATTTCAGACTTCAAATGGTAAAGAAGATCCCCTCAGTTCCTTTCTGGGTCAGTTAAGGTGTGTAGTGCGCCAGTCCGCATTATGAATGGCTCTCGGGTTAAAATTAACATCACACTAAATTGACTTGTTGCATATGTATGATGGAAATAAGATTACTGTACCTGCAGCATACGATTGCACTGCAGCTCAACACGGAATTCCTGATCGGCATCTGCACAAAAATATGAAAGTCAATTCATGGAGAGCTTCTTCACTAGAGGCAATGTAAACAGAGGATCAGCAAAGATACAACGAAGTTCAACATGATTTCTCGGATCAAAGTGAAGAAAACCATCATATCGTAGGAACTGATGTTTCGTTAACGGACAATGAAACTCACACAGCTGAACGGGTTCCGGATACAATCCCTCTCTGTCTTCCATCGTCCTTCTTCAACGGCTAGTCTCTGGAATGGAAAACCTGGATTTCAAACACGAATCACGACAGCGTATCTGTTTCACACTTCATGAAGCTCAGCGCTGAATTTAAGCGTAGACTCACACGGAGATTAGAGCGCGAAATATTTCATCATATCGTAATTATGTACAAGTCAAGGACAGATCATGCAAACTCACCAATCAGCACCGTGTACATCCCCAACAGCTCACAATGATCTGCACGTGGAAAATAAAGGTTCATATTATTCAACATGGAACAATACTCGAGTTGGGGAATGTTAACATTCCCGTCAGAAAAGAATGTTACACATTTTCAGCAATACATTTATGCGTTGGATCCGAAGCAAATCATCACGACATGTACGCAGATACCGAATCATATCGAAAAATCTCACCTCAGCTGAATCCGACGATAATCTTGAACTTCGAACATGATCGACCTACTGAACAAGTCACAAAAATCGTTCTACACCTCATCGACGGGTTCAACTCCATTTCGTTCTGCGTACGTCAAGGGTAATCCCGTGAAGTATGAACCCGCGGGAACCTTATGTAACACCTCAAAGATTGTTGAGCCACCATACTAGCGGGCTTCAAATTTCGAGGTTGCTCTTCGTTCGCGTGTACAGGGTTGAACGGAGACGCAGAGATCTATGGCAGCGACATCTGGTTATGAAGATTATAAGATATGCTGCTCCTGCGTCACCTATTGCTTACCTGAGCTCAACAAGGAGTACGCCTGGTTTGACTAGGATACTGACGCCCCCCTCCCACTTCCAGGCAGTGTGAGCGTCTTCGTAATGGGAACACGGAGCACTGTAGGCGTGCTTTCGGCTGCATTTGAATAGAGGCGTGAACGGATGACCGGTGTAAACAATAACAAACGACACAAGGTGTTATTAATGCAAAACAATGTCCTTTGATGCAGCAAACATATGCGGCATACGTAGGAGCCTTGGCATTTATATACAATACTGTATGAGTATAAACGGCATGGGTGAGAGAAACAAAGAGCCTGTAAGTATATATGTACAGCATTCAAGGTAAACTGATTAATTCATGTCACTGGAAACAAGAACCATGTCTTGGTCTCTGCTTTTGGCTCGTTTATGCACTGTAGTCTTTCTTTGGGGCACTGGAAAGATCCCGACGCCGCGAATCGCCTGTCTTTCCTTGGAAAAACAGGGGATGAGCGATGAGGGCGGTTGGGATTTTTCGTACCCCCCCCCCCCCGAACCGGGCATCTCGGGCCATCTCCGTACTCTAATAGTAGCGACACCTGTATGACTCATTTAGGCGTGCGACGATGATAGTGTTGGCATCCGCCGTGCCTGGCTGTGCGCTGTATGGTGTAGTCCGGGGAGAAGCAAAGGCTGATCCTCGCGGTGACCGGACGAAATTGGAAGATGATGATAACCTGCATGTAAATCAAGGGTGCAGAAATATCGATTATTGCGACCCAATGCCTCCAGAAGCTCCTGGACGGTGGGCATTGGATAGTGATCCGGAATGATGAGTTTATTCAATTCCTTGTAATCCTCCACAAGTCGGAAGCGTTTTTCAACCGGAGCCTGCGGGTCCGTGCACTTTTTGTCAACCAGGAACGCCGGCGCATTGTACGGAGATGCGGCGGGTTCCAGGATGCCTGCTTCTAAATAAAGGTCAATTAATTCGGAAAAAGGCACATTACGTTCAACCGAATGTCGAAACTGGCGGACAGCTGGAGGGGAAGCCTCCACTGTGGGAATGCGCACAACGTAATCCGCAAACAAACCGCGTCGCCCAGACCATTGCCGAATGAGAGGCGCATGTTGTTTCAAGAGCTGCGTGATCCGCGCGCGTTCAGTAGGAGTCCCATCCACGAACGGAATGCCAGCGCCGACCAAAAGCGTAGGCTTTGATGGGGCGCGCATGACCTCCTGAAAACCCGTAAAGACCCGTTTTCCGTCCAGGGTGATGGCCAGCGGTAACTGCAAGAGTATTGTGCGTCCCAAAATAATAGGAAATTCGCGCATACCTGGAAGGACAAGAAAGGCCCCCTGATGAGGGGTGCCTTGAAACAAAAAGACCGTATTCACCACCCGTGAGACCCGAACCGCGTCAGGACCCAAAGCTGTGCCGACCGTCGTGCACAGGGGTTCAGACGGAAGCCTGAGCTGATTTGCAATGCCCTCAGAGAGAAACGAATGGGAAGCGCCGGTGTCAAGTAACGCTGAAAAGCTTTGCCCGGCTAAAACGATTTGCAGGAGAATGGGGGGAGGAGCGGCGGGGAGGTTCGTCATATAACAGTGCGCCGCATTCACTGTTACGACGTCGCGTTTCCCGAAATCTGCGGACATTCGCGAACACGGTGCCCGGGCTGATTACAATGAAAACACAAATTCGATGCGCCCCCGGTGGCAGCACCTTGCGAAACAGACTGGCCGGCGGAACCGGCGGTGGATTTCCCTGTCGAGTCCTCGGCGGTGGAGCTGGTTTGTGCTCCAGCTCGATGGCGTAATCTGCATTCCTGGGAGCCATGTCGCATGTGGCGTTTGTGAAACTCGCACCACTGCTTTGGTGGGAGCTCCCTGTGTCGAGAACCGGTTTTTCCGGATGACGAACCGGTGGAAACTGGGCGGTTATTGATCCGATACGCTTCCGCGATATCAACCATGTCATCCCACGTCAACGCTCGATTGCGTGTCCACTTCTTGCGTAGCTCCTCCTTCAATCCGGGTTCGGCGATGTTCAGCAACTGTTCCTTAAGAATGTGTTGGATGAGGATCTCGCCGTCGGTGAGGTCGTCTGCCGTCATCTGGATGTAGGCCTCATATTCTTCGCGCAGGCGTTCGCCGAAGTTGAAAAAACTCTCCTCGTCCTGTGGTTTCATCGTGCGGAACCTCTGCAGTCGCTCCAGATGTGGAGTGGGATGTCGTCTCGAGATCTCGTGGACGAGTGACTCGAAGTCCACGAACCCGCGTTTATACAGCCGGTTGGCTGTGGCTTGGACGTGGGCGAGCGTGTTTTCCAGGAGACAGCAGATGCGGTGCTCGTCGGTCACTCGTCCCGCTGACAGCATGTTCCTCAACCGCATCGCGTAGTCGTCGAACGTCTCGTTTGCTCGTTGTTTCGGGAGGGTCGGCGTCTGCAACTCGTTGAGCCATGTCGGTCGGCGAGTAGGAACTGCGGGTAGCATGTCCGCTGCTCCGTCGTCAACACTTTGTCGGCGCGGGACGATCGCCCGCTCGGCACCTCGCGAAAGGGTTTGTAGAGCAGTAATTGGAATTTGAAACCTGTCGAGTTGCGCAGCGTACGTAGACTTAGCTGCAATCGGCGGATGTCCCAGATGAAATTCGTCGGCCAGCATCTGCAACGTTGACAAGGGCAAGGACTCCCAGATGCTCGTCGAAGTGGAGGCATCGGAGGGTGGAGATTCCTCAGGGGGAGGCGGATCCGTGTCCTGGAACTCGTCGTCGTCTTCGTGAATCGTTGCGAGATCAGCGAGCGCGTGTGCGGCAGCCGCACGCGAATTCTCGGTGTTGCGGGGCATGGTAACTGTGGTGCCGGCGTGTCACGTAGGTTGATCACTGGAAAAGTGGCTTCGAGCCCCCAATAAGAGTTGAGAGCGGCAGAGAGACTTCAACACCACGTTTCACGTACACGTCATCTATTTCTTCCTCGGCACACACACACAGTTGGTCAGGATAAGAGTCCAGGATTAATAGAACATTATAGGTCAAGAGCTCATAACAATCTAACTATCCTCCACCTCGCCCGCCGGCTCCTCCGAGTTCTCCCCCTGATCGTGGGCCTGATAACGGGGACGCGAGTGGGAAGATTGACGCGCGTTACCGGAGTTAGGATAGATGTCGCCGGTGGGGGTAAGGATGGGTCCTTACTGTACACTTTCAAACTCAACGAAACTCACTTCCACGCTGCCCCTCCAGAGGGCTGTTCCCTACCACTCCATCCCTCAATGCCAAAAATGAGTGACTTCATGAACTGCGCATGCTTGCAGATACGAATTACATGTTGAAGAATTGTGTAGGAGTAGGAAGATAACATAATATTCAATACAGTACTTTCCTGTTATCTCTGTACCTCATTCCTAGACTGCACTACCATCCAGACAAATTTTTAGGACAAGTTCATAATCACAAGAACCTACCATTCAGAAACTGTGAATTTTATTTTCTGCATAACCTGACCTAACCTAACTTTACCTAACCACCTCTTAAATATGAAATATCTTTAATTAACATAAACTGACCTAACCTAACTTTACCTAACCACCTCCCAAGTATCAAATATCTTTCAATTAACATAACCTGACCTGAACTAACTTCACCTAACCACCTCCCAAATATATTTTAATTAACATAACCTGACCTAACCTAACTTTACCTAACCACCTCCTAAATATCAAATATCTTTAATTAACATAAACTGACCAAACCTAACTTTACCTAACCACCTCCCAAAATCAGTTTCAGCAGAATGCAGAAAAATAAAATTCACATCTGTTGTGTTTATGAATTTGTCCTAAAGATTTGTCTGGATGGTTTAGTGTGGTCTAGGAATGAGGTACAGAGATAACAGGAAAGTACTATATATTTTATTTATCTAAAAAAGGTGTTTTTATATGTGCACTATGTTATGTGTCCCTTGGAGTCTCTGTTTACATTTTACACCGCCAAAGCATTGCAGTCAAAGTCACTCAATGAGAGGCTGGCGCTCCTAGGGGTGGCGTGGAAGAGGTAGCGTTGAATGGAGCTGTGTTGAGTGGAAGTTGTACCATAGTGTTGTGTCACGGATCCTCGCGGCCCTCGGAACTTCCAATGGGATATCCGGATATCCCTCTGTGGATCGGCTGTAGTTTGTGGGAAACTTTTTCTGTGCAATACATGAAGATATCCGCCGCGCCAAAAATCATGAAGTTATCTTGTCAATCTACTCGATATATAACAGATTCGCTACTGGAATCCTGCGATTGCTAACAGACGAAGAATAATTAGATTTTGTGTTCCCTTCTGGGCTTCAAAGCGAAGGACACGCATTTGCGTTGAGGAGTTTTCGTCGTCTGGTGGAAATATCCTTTCTGTATCTGTTATTTTTATTTTATTTTTCCGTTGCGTGCGTACAGACTTGAAACAGAACTTCGCAATGCCTGTTCCACTATCGTCAGCTTATGCGAATTTGAGTAATGAGGAGCTTCTGAAGAGACTGAAAGCAGTGAATTTCACGAACGTTGGTCCCATCAATGATGCGACCAGAAGCGTGTATTTAAAAAAATTGGAAAAATTAGAAGGCGAAGCTAATCCCGGTTCACCAGAGAGCTCCTTCATCCGAAGATCAGAACCTAGTCCTTCACGCGCAAAGCCGAGCAGGAGGTGAGTCTCAGGTTCTTATTCATGTGCTCTCTTGGTTTTGATGTTTGCCTCTGCTGTTATTTGCAGATCCGTCGGAACTCCAAAACCTGCAGTTTCAAAATCACCTGCTCGAAGAAGAACCATCAATCCTGTTCCAAACACGACATCGGTGCCATCTCCTTCTGAAAGAATCCTTCGTGGCCCGACGACGAATGTAGACGCTCTCGATTCCGGACCTGCCACAATTGCATCTCGTTGGACACGACCGAAAGCCGCGGAATTTTCCGATAACGAAGAAGAAATCACTGGCTTTCGACGACGTCGAATTCTACACGAACCCATACGCATCACAGCGAAAAAATCCCCCTATGCAACCTTGTTGCCTGCTTTTCGTAAATACGTCACACTGCATTGGAACAAGATATTGTTCTACTTTGTAGCAGTCGTCATCGTCGTAATATTTATATTTGCCCGTCGACCGGGACCAGTAGACTCCTTCCCAGTGTGTACCATAGAAAGTGACCCAGATTGTATTCCATCTGACGAGTTGCCAGACGCCGTGAAGAACTTCCAGACCGTGAAAGCACTGCTTGAAAAGCGAGCGCTTTTACACGATTGGCCTCAGTGTGGGAATGAATTGGAAGCCGCAGTGGCAAGCGTGAGTCGCGGCTTGACTTTCAATGAAATCGTGAAGCAACGTTACGGTTTACTTGATGCTGAGTTCTTCGTGAAGATCCGCTACGTGTCCGCGCTCGTCAAAGTGAATCCTCATTGGGGTATGACGCTTTTCACGCGCGATGGTTCGCACACGGACAATCTTGGCCTTGCTGAAGGTCTTGAAGCCACTGGGAGCTTCCTGCCAATCTCGTGCCTTCTGTCTTTTGCTCTATCGGCATTAATTCCCAGAATTTTACTGCTTTTCTGTGCGGCCTCGATCGTGTACGCAGGCTTCTATGGTTACCGGTACTACGTTGCCCAGAAGCAGAAAAGAGATCGGGAAGTCTATGAATTCATTGAGAAGGCTCTGATGGTCCTCAGTGCGCGGAAGAGTGAAAATCCGCATGACCCGGCGTTGCCAGTTCACGTAGTGCGGGATAAGTTGATCAAGGCGGCCATGAGGAATGATAAAGCTACAATGACAGTGTGGAGTAAGGTGATGGATTTTGTTGAGACTCAAGATTCCCGCGTCGCAGTGAGTCTGCGAAGAATCGGTGGCTACGATGTGAAAGTTTGGTCGTTTCGTGGCAGCGTGGACTCTCACAATAACGCAGAAATTCCGAAACATCCTCAGGTATGTGTAACTTTGCGCATTCTTTTTATTTCTCCATCAAAAATGTTACTTTTTTACGTACGGATTGGCTAACGGCAATGTTTCGAGTCCGTGATGTACAATATTCAAGTTATTCGGGTTGGGGCTTTTCTCTTTAAGCTGAGGCCTTCTAACAGTCAGTTCGAAAGCGGTTTGAGTATGTGACCTGATTAATCAACGCGTCGAAAAATCAAGAAAGTTTTTAATAAGCACGAATTAAAGCGAAAACCCAGTTTCTGTAGATTTTACCCCGATCTTTTCAAGCAATCATGGATGGTGACGTCTCAATCTTGGTGAAAATTATCTGTGTTTGAATTAATGAATAATTTAATGCACAAGTTGAATTACCCTTTCGAATCCGGATTATTACGGCCAATGGCCTACCGCTAGTGTCGAAATATACAGTGAATGCATTTAAATCTCTTTTTTTTCCGAATGGCTTCTTCGTTTGAAGATTGATTATCGAGTCGAGTAATTGATTTCGACGAGCGCGCTTTTGGCTATCTGGTAACGCAGTAGAAAACGCGCGCGCGGGAAAGCCGGCATGTGAGCGGCGCGGCGAAACGTTAAGGCGGGAAAATCGCAATTTTCGAAAATGATGGAACCAAATTGAATATCTTGTAGTGTTCATAGGTCAGTGACCGTAGCTAGAGGACAATTTAGATAAGACCGTTTATCAACTTAATCATTCTAGTGTGTGTTTTCGCCAATATTGTGCCAGCATTTTTTTTATATGTTGTGTTATCGATTTCCTTTCTGTGTTCTATTTTGATGTTTACGATATGGAAAAAATGTCCTGCATGAAGCAGCTCGTAAGAAAATTTGTTGAACTAATTTCCCGGGGCGTTTTCACGTAATGTACACATGCTGCTTCAGTTCCGTCTTTGGTTACTGCTCGATCATTTTCTCGGAAATTTCTTGCATATACTGTGCAGTATTTCAACATTTTCGAAGTTGAGCATAAGTAAACATACCATATTTACTTTGAAGCGACTACTACGTTGAAGACAGATTCAATTATTCATTCAGAACGCGGGATTGAATGACTGACAAGAGTGAACATTTTATCAGATGCAGTATAGAGTCTCATTGTGAGGAATAATCGCTTTCAGCGAAGTCGTTTTTTAGGTCCCTGCCCAGTAGACACAATGTTGAATGAGTTGCTTTATGAAAAAAATTTCTACGACGAAGCTATTTTAATAGGTCCAAGTGACTTTGTTGTAACGAAATTTTAGTGTACTGTACTACCTGCTCTTGAAGTGTGAACAAAATTTCCCATGCTTTCATAATTCACCGCCGTTGAGAATCATGCTGTTTTTCTGCTTCGAAAACCAAAAGATTATGCATCATCCTGAAGATGCTGTGCGTTCGTGTGAATGTTCAAAATGTAATTGTTGTCAGTCTCACCTGTCCACGTGCTTTTCGATTTTTTTTTTTATGCAGAGAAGTTACCAAACGAACAACCATTTCCGGAAAATTTTTGACAAGTATGAGATTTCTGTACTATACTGTATTTATAGACTTCGTCATGATCATTGAGATAATACTCGTAGCCCTACAAGGAACTCAGTTTCGTGTTCTAACGCTATCTTTGGCCAACTGTCGTTGAAATATTTTTTTTGTCGGGATTGCCCGAGTTTTTGAAGTTAGCCTTTTAACGTGGGCTGTGTCAGTCGTTGAAGTGAAACACTTTCTTTCTTACAGTAGATACTTTGGATCTACTCCTTGCCCTCTTTTCTCAAACCAAAATTTTCAAAGAAACATAGGGGAGTACGTGTGTTCTCCTCCCAAGCCTTTCTCGTTTTGTCATTCTGTGTTGATAGAATTGTCCCCAAAACCCAATCGCTACACGCCCTCGAAAATGGCGAAATATGGACAATTCCCCAAATCATTCAATCTAAATGGCGAAATATCAGGAGTCTTGGTGAAGGCGCGCGATATTTAACCCCTGGGAACATGGCGCGGAATCGGTCCCTGAGGAAAATATGCTCACACTAAGGGTCACCCTCTGGTGGCGGAATTTTAAATCGCGCGGCCGAAGTACGAATAGATGTCGACTGAAGACACAAAGGAGAGAGAGAAAAAACCGCTACCCAGATACAGTAAGAGCCGAAAAATGCCGAAAAAATATTTTTCTGAGCTTTACTAAATAATTGGGAGAAAAATAGCAGGATTTGTCGTCACAGCTTTATATTCAGATTACAGTTCTGGACAGGACCTTATCGAATTTTTTTTTTGCGTTTGTTCGGATTATTTTATGAGCTACGTAAAATATTTTCTCTTCATAATTTGTATGCTTCAGCTCGTCGGGGTTTTCGAGGCGAAATGTGTTTTATTCATGGACCATTCAATAATAAAATATTCTTTGTATTGTGCGTTTTAGCTGAACCTCGATTATCCGTCTCCGAAATTTTTTGACATTCGAGCCATCCTTGCAACTCACGATTCACAATTCTACGACTGGGCTTCTTGTGTACTGTACTACCTAAACGTTTACAATAATGAGAGGTTAACGATAGAATGTTCGGAAAATTTTTCGCTCTTCAAAATTGAAAAAAGGTTGCGATGTAATATTGCTGAAATTTCGTGTGATATGAATCTTTTATTAAGCATATTCCCTTTATTTATTATGATCTTCTGTATTCGGAAGAATTACAGTTGGACCGATAATTCGAACCTTCCGGTGTCGAATTTTTTCAGGTCCGCGTCCTTAAATAATGCGTTAAAAACCTCTCTAACTCGAAGGATTTTTCTCTCGAACCTCAGTGACTCAAATTTTCCGAGGCCTTTTCGGTATTATTTCATTTTCAAAGGAAAGATAGAAGCAATGAAAAAAGTAACGACGCGTTTAAATGATAATGACGTATTAATTAAACAAATGAACCCGTGCCTCCATGTTCATTATCCCGTCAACTCATTCAACAAACAATTTATGGCCCAGGATATCATCAGTTACCATTTCCTGCAATTCTTTTTTTTTTAACCAAAAAAATGCTCGTTTCGTCATCTCGAAACCTCTCCGACTGAAATTTTTTGCTGGTCCGTTGGAATTCTACTTGAAGATATTTTTTTTCCGTGTTCTGCAGGATGAACCGATGGACACTTCGGATCACCGTGAGATTCAAGCGGACAATGCCCGTCTCTGGCAAGGACACGCGTTCGACAACAACGGCCTGAAATCATCTCCGACCCCGTGTCTCAAAATCCGTAACATGTTCGATCCCGAAGTGGAAACCGGTGACGACTGGCCTCTTCAGATCCACGAATCTCTGCTCGAGAAATGCGACGGCATCCCGATCGTTCACATCGCCGTCGACAAGGAATCCCGCGAAGGCACCGTCTACATGAAGTGTGCCGACGAAGAGGCCGCCGGACGTGCGTACAAGATCCTCCACGGGCACTGGTTTGACGGGAACCTGGTCACTGTCAAGTATCTGATGGTGGACAGGTACCATCAGCGGTTCCCGCAAGCGCAGGACATGCGGGACGCGATCAAGCGCTGAGTAACCCGAGCTTGTTTCTTGTAATCGCGCCGCATTTTTTTTTTTTTTTTTTTTTTTTTTTTTTGAATTTTTTTTTGCGTGAAGAATTGCCGAGAGCNTCGCGCCGCTTTTTTTTTTTTTTTTTTGCTACGTATGTGAATCTTGTTTTGAAGGCTAGTATACTTGCCCTCGCTGAGATTTCCCAATACATTGTGCAGACTTGACATTTGTTGGCAAACGGGGTGAGGAGTTGAGTCTACAGTACCGACTTGTTTGAAGTGGTCGGTCGATCAGTTCTGGGAAATCCTCGGAAATATCCTTCCACTGCTCTCTCGTTAATTTGCGAATAAGAGTTGCCCGCGAACGCTTCTGCAATATTTTGGGTTTCTGAAATGTTCCTTCGCGGAGAAAAAGTGAGCATTTCAGGTTTTTCAAAAATTCAAAATTGTGGATGGAACGCTGGCGAAAGTGCATCCAAAGCAGTGGATAAAATGCTGAAGGGGCTCCAAATATTCCTTTGAGCAGATCAAATACAGGAAACCGGTCCATTTATATCAGAAAGATTAAAGTTAAGATCACACCCACCCTTTTGTCCCACCTCAGCAAGGTTCATGCGCACACACCAGGCAGCCAAAAGAAGAGGAACGAGCAAAATTTCGTGCAGAATTTTTTTTACCTACAGGTGAATTTGGAATAAAGGTTTTCTTACCCTGAAAATCGACAAGTATTTTGTACGTGTGCTCTTCATGAATCCAGAAGAAACTCCGCTATGATATTTTTTCGAAAAAAATTTTTCTTCAGTCCCCTGATCATTGCAGAAGGCATGTTACCTTCATCGCTGCTATTAGTAACCTTTTGCATAGACACGGGACCATCGAAAATTCATCGTCTTTGTCATTTGCGAAATCATAGTTTTTAAACATGGGTTTATCCTTGCGAACTTTTTGCATAAGGTTAATTCTCGTGAATGACCTGGGTTCCTGAGCCTTAATTTTTCTGAGTTTCTTCCCGACAATACTTCCGGGTGTCAAAGCAGTGGTTTGAGAAGAGGTTTTCGCAGGACTGGTGAAGTGATCTGATTAGAAGAGACTCGATCTTAATGATTATAATTCGTTGCAGAGAAATTAACTTATAATTCCTCTCGCTCCTTCCTCCCCCCCACAGGATTGATAAATAAAATGCAGTCTGAAAGTGAAGGTGAAAAGATAAAAGAAGTGGTGCCGACGAACGCGACGCGATGGATGTTGAGTGCGACGCGGGCGTTGAACGAAGCCGCCCGGTCGGCGCCGAACAATGACAGTTGGCAAACATTCCTTCGAGCCATGGTCAGTTTCCGCGAATCTCTGGCCTGTTCAGTGTGCAAGGGACTCGTTTCCGAGCCAAAGTACCCGTACCCGGGGGACGGCGAGCACGATTGTCAGCACCACGTGTGCGGCAGTTGTTGGGGCATGAAAAAGAACCTGAGACCGCCGTGTTCGTGGTGTCGGGATTATAATAATTATGTCCCGTGTCGGTCACTGGATTCACACGTGAGTTCTTAGATTTATAAATTTTGTATACCTCGCTGCGTTTTTCTGCCGTGACTTAAAATTTTTTGACGACATCCAAGAACGAGTTTCCCGTGCGCCTGACTTTTTTTTTTCATCAATAGCACGTGGTGTTTCCGAACAGTGAGTAGAGAACAGCGAATCAAGGTTCGAGTTTTCGATGAAGGCAGGGTTTCTAATTTCGCATCTCTACAACGAATTTTGCAAAATTTTACTTATTCATGTACAGTACAGTATGTGTAGATTACGAAAAGGTTCTCGATGGAACACTAGAAAGCCGAAGATTGTCGCGACGGCAGCCATTTGTGAAATGCCGGACGCAACGCCAAGAGCGCAGGTGTTTTAAATCAAGGAGTATTGGCAAGGACAAGGAAAGGCTCGTGACGCGTCAGGATTAAAGAAAAAATCGTACATTTTAGTGTTTCATGTAGAATTGTTAGCATGGGAATTACTATTTTAGTCGATGAACGAAGAAAACGGGACGTCCAGTCGACTTTGCTCGATCAATTCCACTTCACTGCGGTGAATTGCCTCACGCATTCGTCAATCCTTTAATTCCCTTCTCGTGGTTTGGTTTTGTGCATGGGCGTGAGTGTGGTCCATACAGAAAATCACTCATCACATGCTGTGTGAGAGAATGAGGCTGATCTGGCGGACTGGCATTTTCGATCAATTTTTTGGTAGTAAAAAATTTAGCAGGTATTCCAAGTGCCTTGATACAGGTGGACGGCGAAACTCTACAACGAAATTCTAGGGGACCAGAAAAAGAAATTCTTCGTGGAGAAAAGTTAATTGTATAGAACCTCTATTTAATGCGTAGAGAACTCCCATGGGAAAGAAAAAAGTAGCATTGTTCAGAGAAAATCGTTGTGGAGACTGTAGACAGTCTACCGGTACATTACTTTCAAATTCGAATTTTTAGTGACATTATTTCTGATCTGTCAAGTGGCAAGTATGTTCCATGAAATTTATTGTAATTCTTTAATTTTGTATTCGATGCTATTCAATACTGTATTAGGATTGCCAAAAACTCGAATTAGTGTACAGGAAATCGCCGACTTTAGGGCTGTGTTCGTGACAAATTTGAGCTTTATAATCCTGTTCGTAATGCTACTGTAAAATGATTTTTAGGATTTTTGTTCAACAGCTTGGGTAACCGAAGAACTCCATTTGGTAGTGCAAGTTAAATACAGTAATTTTGATTCATTTCTTATATTCTTCCAGGATTTATTTCATTTGTTGATTTCTTGTTTTTGGTCAAGTTGTAGAGTGAAGTATTCAAGATTTGTTTTTATTTATATTTTCGGCGAACGCAGGTAAACGTATACGAAGGAATCGTAGTCTACTGCAAATCTCTGCGACAGTACAAGCAAGTCAAGCATTATTCCACATATTCCAAAAGGACTCTCAGCACGTTGCCTGCGAGTTTACAGCCTCTCTCGTTCGAGACTTTAGTCGCTGAGGTCCTCGGCCCGTGTCCCGAGGAACCGATCCCCGAACCCGAGTTGCCAATCGAACCCCTTGAGGTTCAACAGCAACAACAACAACAACCCGAAGCGGAGCCCGTGGAGGAGGAGAAGTCTGCCGAGTGTCGGAAACCGGAAGACGGTGATGACGCGAAACGGACGACTCCTAACATGATGACCCGGAGAAGCGCTCACCTCAAGGACCCGTTCTCGGCGCCACCGTCGCCGTCGGTTCCTGCAGCGGCGGCTGAGAAGCCGGAAGATGTGAAGAATGAAGTGGCGGACTTGGTGAAGGTGGAGGAGAAGACGCACATCATGAAGGAGATTCATAATACTTCCACACCGAGAGCGTTGTTGCAGAAGGGCGTCAAGCGGAAGTCTCAGCCGATAGCGAGGCAGAACTGCAAGTACGTAGGCACGTCCTTGTTAATTTTTTTTTCTCGTACCCATGGGGTTTTTGAATGACTTCCTCAACCGAAGAAAATTCCGGGATGTTAATTTTTTGAATCGCACTTGTGGAGTTTTTGCATTGAATTGCTTCAGTACACTCGCCCAAGTGTGGCTGGGGATTGGGACACATTTTATATAAACATATTTTTTTCTATAAAAGTAGCTCATATGTGTAATTATACAAATTATGCAGAGAATTTTTAATAAATTTGAACCATTCACAATGATTACATGTTGAAGGACCACTGGTGATCTTGTGCTTGTGCTCAATGCATCGGGATTGAGCCAATTTTGGCCCAGTGGGCCACGATTGGCACATGATTAGGGGAATTTTTTGTACTTGTTACAAATCCCAAGCACAGGTTGCCCAGCAATAGTTCATTAAATCCTACACAACGATAAAACCATAACAAAGAATCCCCTGTTCTATAGTCAACCCAGAAAGCTTTTTACAGTATATGTGAAAGAAACTCACTCTTCTTTCCTTATTTACCGAATTAAATTTTTTTCTTAATTGATGCGAGTCAAAGACTTCGAAAATCGATACTTTTAATCTTGAAAACATCCAACGCATTCTCCTTTTTGTATTCACGATTTTTTCCCTATGGAAACGAGATACAGTGAGACCCCCAGATGCGGACATAATTGGTGCGTCAAGAGTGTCCCTAAGTTGAATTTTTCTAAGTCGAGTCTTGTTTTCCCATAGACTTACATTATATAATTTTCAATTGGTGTTTAATGAAAGAAATATTCTTCAGAATTCCATAAAAATTTTTTGGAATTGAATTAGATTCAGGGAATATATTTTCAACCCGAGAAGTACATTAGAGCATTGAATAGTGTACTGCTGTACAGTTCATTGAAATGTTGGCATCTGTAAATATTGCATCCAAGTCACAAAGAGGAAAGTAAGTCCCTCTGTGGTATAGGTAATTTTTTCAAATAAGCTGAATAGATGGGAAAGGGATGGGAAAAGTACAAAATAATTTTTCTTGCATAGATCTTAGGGTGAGAAATATCTGTTTCTTGCAATTGAGCTTAATAAAAGTCAAATTTCCTCAAATTTATTTGCAATTTTATCATGCAATGTCCTCATGCCAAGTCAGTGTCCGTATGTCGGGCCGTTTTTGTGATTTTTTTATTGAAAAATAAATGTCCCTAAGTCGAATTGTCCCCAAGTTGAGGTGTCCGCATGTTGGGAGTATCACAGTACTTTATACCAGAGTTCCGCCACCTTTTTGGGCTCACGGACCGGCAAATTTTCATGAAATTTTCTGTGGACTGGTAAAGTTCCATGCAATTTTTCAAGACCACCAGACATTTTTCAATACCTGCCATGATGTCTATACTGTATACAATAGACGTAACAATATTGGAATGTGTTATAAAAAAATAGAAAGCTAAGCTTCAAGAGAGGCTTCTAAAATTGAAAACTCAATGTGAAGTAATATTTCAGCAGGCGAAAATATGTCTGAAGTATGAGGAGAAAAGCCCACTTTTTTTCACGAGATAATTTCAATTGTCATTGTCTCTTCGGAATTTCGGATAACAATAACAAGACTCCATTGCTACTCTCGATGAATTCATCATGCTGAAGAAATTTTCCCGCGGACCATCAAAAAAACTTCCGCGGACCGGCGCAGGTCCGCGGACCACGGGTTGGGGTTGGGGAACACTGCTGTATACTCTCATGATGAGGACCATTCGAAAAATGTTTGAGGAAACAAATATATAAAAGTTGTTCGCGATGAAACAGTCAATTTCAATATTTTTCAGATGAGGCATATGACAGAATCCGTCGCACTGCGTAAATTTCATTGCGTATCTTTCTCTCTCTCCCGAATTAGGTGCCGGAAAGTGAGCACTGGCGGCGGCCTCTCAACTCTGTGTTCCAACAACAAGTGCTCGTGCTACGCTGTGAAGGCGTCGTGCGAGTCTTGTTCTTGTCAGAACTGTGGGAACCCCTACGAAGGAGGCCGTTCAATTGACGCGGCCCTGTGCCCCAACGGCTAGTGTTTTCCGGCAATACTCGGGCCCATTATGAGAAGTCGTGATGGAAAAGTGTAAAGAAAGTTCAAAGGAAAAAAAAACGAAAGAAAAAAAGTGGTTTCGTGTCCCCCCCGAACGTCCCCCCAATCCCCGCCGCCGTCGCCCGTCACCCAGCATGAGTGAAGAGAGGCGTCAGATCTTTGGGTTCTTTTTAATTTGTACATTTATTTCTGTGATTTTTCATTTTGCATCTTGGTGAAAAATGTGAGGTTCAAGAGGAAACGAGAAAGAGACATGTTGAATGAAATGTGTTGTGGTGTTCCGGAAGACAAATTAAGTTTCCTGTGTATCAGGGCATCGTTTGCTTGCGTCCCCTTTTAAATGTTTTTGTGATGGATCTCTTGGTCGAGGATGTGGACTTTTTCTTAATGTTCGCAAACCTCCGGAGATCGCACGAAGAGACTGGCTTCTGGAAGCAGTTTATAGGTGTCACTGCTGCATACGAGAGGATGTGTAAAGTGAGTGGAGGGATGATCAATTCCAGTGCTGCCCGAGTCAGATGTGGTCAAGGGCACACATCTTTGCCTAAGGGCCACATTGCAGAAGTAGAGAGTCCTTGCGGGGTACAATGTATCATAATTTTTAATGTCTCTCATATGGCAGATGCAGAAATGAAGCTGCAATAATGCAAATACTCATCCATCACAATAACATATATACAGTAATGTGGAAATTTATGTTTAAAAAAGATGAGCTGGACGAAGAAGGAGCTTCTCATCCGTGAAGGCTTTTGAAAAGTCTTGATTTGAAGAGCAAAAAGGCTGTTTAATTTTTTCTTTGTAAACCTGTCCTTGACTTCATGTTTTTTTTATCAAGCATATGATGACTGAGTCAGAATATTTTGTTGTTCGCTCATCTTCCACGATTATTTTATTGAAAATCCCTTGTTATTGATTCAAATGCTTGTGAGAAATTTGTCCGTGACATATGTTTTTCAAGGCCCTCCAAATTTTCCCCTTTAAACGAAAAGTTTAAAATTTAATTCTGTATGTATTCAATGAAAAGCATAGGTTTGTAGATTTTTTGCAAGATTTTAAGTATTTAATTCATCGTTTGATATGTTTTAAATAGTGGCTGTGCACACACCTTGAAAATTACAGGGAGAGGACCTTGGGATGGGTGAAATGTCTCTGCGGACTAAATCTGTAGCGTAACTCTGAAAACAACATTTTCAGATACATTTTTGGTTATAATTAATCAGTGCGAAATCAATTTTGTTTTCCTTCCTGAAAGTGTGCCCACATGCCCTGATACATCAGAAAACATGTTGAAATATGCAAAACTCGAAGTGGATTATGTTTTTGTTCCTTTTAACTCAGCATCTCACTTTTAAAAAAAATCTCCGCTAGGAATCCAGCACCGTGTATTGCGAGTGACTCAAGATGGAAGCTCTCCAGAAACAGCTTCAAGAAAAGGTTTCTGCCTTCAAATCCACGCAGAAGGAAATGTCGAATCTGGTCTCGCAGCGACACCAGCTGGATGCGCAGCTCAGTGAGAACACGATCGTTCTGGAGGAACTGAAGCTCTTGGACCCCGGATGCGAAGTGTTCAAGATGATTGGCCCGGTGTTGGTGAAGCAAGACCTGGACGAATCCAAGGGCAATGTGGAGAAGCGTATTGACTACATTAGCCGTGAACTCAAGCGACATGAAGATCTGCTGCAGAAGCTGGAGGAGAAACGGTCGAATTTGAAGGTTTGGAAGAGATTGAAAAAAAAAACATCTTCGTAAAAATTATCAAATTCGGGGTGATCCCGGAAATGCACCCATATTCAAACGGGATTAGAGCCGAAAGGCAATCAAACCTCGATTTAGTGCCACCATTTATCCTTGCACATTTTGTGGCACTAAATCAAGGGTATTTTTTGAGAGGGAGGATCAGTTAAGGGGTTTCCATTGTAGGAAAAATAGGGTTTTCTACAGAATTTATTGAGTCAGTTTTTTTATAAGAAATAAAGCTATGAGAAATAATTTCAAGCTCAAATGTACTATACTTATATTGTATGTTAAAATATGTTTTTTCGGCAGAATATTGTATACTGTATTACATTTTTAAACGTGTAATGTCTAGTAAAAGAGCAGAGCTGTTCCTCAAGATTTTGTGTGCATTTGAGTTTTTATTTATCACTAATGTTTCCACAAAAGCTTCCCTTTTTTACATTTTGAATGAAGTTTGTTGTCATGAGCAAAGCATATTTTTCAACAATGCAAGTGCAAAAATAAAATGTTCAAAATTATTTTGAGTATTATGTGTAGGATTCCCTCACTGAGGTACAGGGAGCAATGATGAGAGCACAAGGAGCTTTGGGAGAACCTGCCAAGTGATCCGCTGCTTCTTGTCGTGATTGAAGCAATTTGATCAGCTGATTTTCCGTTGATTTGATTGTCAATAATTGCCGTCACTAAAAAAAAAAAACGTTCACTGTCGACCCCCTAGTTTCAACGGATTGTTTTATTCACGATGTCATCGCACTGGGGTTGCTACGAAAAGGTACTACTACTGAAGTAAATGTACTGAAGAGCCTCCGTCATGAGGTCGTGATTGAATTCGTCAAGTGCTCTGTCAGTTTTTGCGCTTGCAACTCATCGGCAAGAATTCGGCGAAAAAGACCAACAAGGCGATGCCGTTTCCCACGAACAATATGTAGAATGCGCCTTGAAGATCGTCCAGATCCAGAGTCTTGGTTGCGTCGCTGCGGGTTTGTTCAGCATTGATGTGGCCCATTTGATCGCCTTCAGCCTCCCTGCGGCGTTTCAGGCCAACAAGGAATACATTGCCCAGGGTTTCCTCGGTCCAGCGGTACAATATACCGGACGCGTGCAGTTGGGAGATCCTGAAAAAAAATTAACCCGTTGTTACTATTTAGTCTGGAGCCGCGTACAACGAAGAATCCATACAATGAACGATGAATATTTTCCAAAAACATGACTAATCCAAGAAATTGTATACCCTGCAAAGAACCAGAGTTTCTTCTAAAAATGGTGGGAATATACAAATAAAGTTGAACCTCTTCAAGTGGAATTTCTAAGGACCAGGAAATAAATTTACTTGGGGAGGTTTTGATTTTTTTAGGTTTTGAGTAAAGGAAACATTCTTGTGAGGAAAAGTAAAAATTTTTAGATGAGGATATTCAGGGCCTAAACTTGCTTCTTAATGAGTTCACAGCTTGCTGAACTTGGAGGCAGGGGTTCATTTGCTCAATGAGTCTTCCACTTCATTTTAAGATGCATAAAATCATCTGTTTCATTGATTTCATCTTGCATATTTTAAGGAAATAATAAGCAAAAGGCCTCAGAAAATTTGACTTACAAAGGTTTGTGAGAAAAATACTTTGAGTTAGGGAGGTTTTTAATGCATTGTTTCTAAGGGAATCCAGACGCACAGGGACTTGAAAAAAGTTGAAGTTAGGGAGGCTTGACTTGGCAAGGTTCAACTGTACCTCTTGTTAAGAACTAGTGCTACAATGACCCTTAGAGTTTAAGAATAACAACTGCATGCATTTTTTTTATTGCCAAAGATGGATGCAAAAAAGGCATATATTGTGTTAATACAGTACAATAGTATTTGTTTTTTTACGGTGGCAATATATGTTGGTGGTTCATTGATGACATAGACTTCTGTGAATAATGTGTCTTGGTGAATTTTTTGCTGCAATTTAATGAAGGAATTTTCCCAAAGATTTCGATAACAACCAGAACAAAAATCACATGTGTCTCTGCCCATCCGGAGACTCGAAGAGCACACTATCATCAATTTTTAGATAATGGATTCAACATTGTCCAGTTAACAGAATCACAATGTTTCAGATACTGTAGTTGAAGAACAATGTTGAAGATCCGAAAATCATTTTTTGAATGAAAAATTTCCATCTGTAAGTCTGAATGCGAGGACTGCTCCAAAATATAAGGGTGTGAACAAGTTTCAGGACTTCATGCAGTTGTCAACAATTCTTGGGGTATTTTCAAGTCTTCTTGCTAATTCCAGAATGTCATATTTGAAGGAAAACATCACAAATCCGAAGAAACTATTCATGTTGATGTACTGTCAGGATGAAACTTGGAAACAAAAGCTCGAATCTCGACTCCGAATTTATTTATTTTATTCATTCATTTCGGTTTTCCGTGAAAGGCGCTCATCAGTGCTTGTGAAGACAAAAAACATGCAAATGCCTCACTTGCGGTCAATTATCGGTTTCAGAGGCGATCCCTTCTGGAGCGGTATTCCATTGAAGTTGGGATTGAAGCCCCTGGGTGCCACGTGCATGTTCACCTTTCCTCCCAGCTGTGCCGTCAAGTACTTGAGGGTGTACCGAGCACCAACATACGCCCTGAAGGGTGCCTGGACCCATTCCGTGCCTTCCCCCGAGGTCTGCACCATGGTCTTCTCTCCACCAGTCAACTCCAGTCTGCGCCACAACGTGGAAAGACTGGTTCCTTCGTCAGCGAACTTGAGGTGAGTCCAAAAAAATAAACAGCGCATACAGTACTGACATGCATTACCCCGGATAACGGACACCGCGGAGGATGGTTTTTTTCTCGCACTGCTGAACGCAGGCAGTCAGGCACTGATAATTCGAATTTTTTTTTGCACGCACGCACCGTTGTTCAGCAAGCTGAGACAGCTGATGTATAGAGTTATAAAAAATTCATGAAGTGTACGTGCGAATACCGTACATGTGTGGAAAGTATAGTACAGTATCAACTGATGATGTACCAGGTTGTAAATTACATTACAATATTCCATCAACCATGGTGTCAAAATATACTGGCGGAATCTGGAAGAATATTGTCTATACAACAATTTTCTCTGCATAAGGAAGTTATTCTTATTGGCCCCATAGGTTTCTATCCCCTATTGTTTTAGTTGTTCTCTACAACAAAATTGTCTCTACGATGAAATTTTTTCTTGTCCCTATTGTGAATTCAGTTTGAGAGAGAATCCACCTGTGGGTTATTTATTGTCCCAGTTGGACAAAACCTCTGAAATTTTGAGAGTGGGTGAACTGCACTGAAGCTTGAAGTAAAGCAGTAATAATATGGCAAAAATGAAGAAAACCTCTTGAGCAGAAATCAGGCTCTTCTTTTCAGTACCTTGAATATGTCTGTGATGATGGTTCCATATTCCAAGGTGAAGGAGAACCTGGAATCTTGAGCTAATTCCTCCATGCTGTTCAACACTGGAGTTAGTCCAGGGTATGCCATGTGTGCTGTCAGAGTTCCACTGAAAACAGCTTTGAAGAAAAAAAAAAGATTCTCAATACATTAATGCTCCTTTTAAAACAGGGCATCATGGCTATATACTCCAACTTTTTAAATACATTGTTCAACCTCTGAGGCATATGGCAGTTCTTTGCATCCCACATTCCCTGCTGAGTACCAATTCCACAATTGGTGTGCAGAGTATATTTTGAAAACTTTGGTTGTGTTTCTTGCTTCATTCATATCAATTTTGTGTTGATGAAATAGTTTTTGTAATTGTGGTTATACTCAATATAATTGCATACCTTTGATGGTTGCATGCAATGTTTGCTTATATTAGGTATAATTGAGAAAAAACATTAAAAAATATATATCTTCTAGAGTCAACTTTCCCCTACGCTTGAGCTTCCCTGATTGTACAGCTGCTGAGGGGAAACCTTTCAAGAAGATAATGCATATACCACAAAGTTAATCATGTGTTACATATGGTACAGGTGGTATACTTTGCCATTTGACCCTAATCTGTTGCTTGACTAAGGTCAAATTTCAAAGCAGTTGAATTGTGATACAATGTCAAATGGCATGTTTTTTTTACATGTAACTTGACATTTCATGTCTCTCCACAGGTGGAATTGAGTAGCAAAGGTCCAATTGAGAGTCAACCTTCCAGAAATTTCTACCAGCAAATTGAGAGATGGGGGAATTTCTGGGAGGTTTAAGTGCAAGGTATACCGCCTTTACAGACTTATTTCCAAATCAACAAAATGCTTTTTATGGTCATTCCAATAACATGGTGAATTTGTATACAGTCAAGTGTGTAAAATAT